AACGAACCCTCCTCGTCTCTCTCCTCCCCCTTCCGCCTCCTCAAGAGGAGGTGCGGACGCCCCCGCGGTGGGGGGCGGAAGGGCCACCGTCGAGCTTCCTGCTCTCGAAGGCGTGGGCGCCTCCCTCCCCGACGAAGGGGACCTGGCCACGGGCTCCGGGGGTCCAGGCTGCGAGCGAAACCGCGGCGTCGGGGGTATGGGATGATGGGCGGGAGGAGGAGGAGGAGGAGGAGGAGGAGGAGGAGGAGGAGGAGGAGGAGGAGGAGGAGGTGCAGGGCATCGGTCTAGGATGAACCTGCCCTCATCTTCAAAGCTTCAAGGAGGAGGTGGAGGAGGAGGAAAAGCAGGCGTCAGCAGGGTGGCAAACGATGCGAAGAGGAAGAGTATCAGAGTGAGCCCGCCACGCGGCACCAGTGTGCTGCAACATACCACGAAACTGGAGACACCCACCCACACACACACACGGCCACACTCATACGTGGAACATACGAGGGCCACGCGCTGCAGACCCACGCGGAATGCCAGCGCGCCCGGCCAGACGAGGGCCCGGCGCCGACAAAACATGTGGCCATGTGCGTACAGGGCGGTTTTCAATACATAGGATTTTTAATCTATGGGATTTTTAATACATGATCGATGCATGAATACATTTATGCATGCGCTCATCGTTGTTTTTATACAAAACCCTGCAGTTTTCATACATGATCCGCACGCGGAGCGTGTATTAAACACGGTACTGTATCCAGCCCTCGCCCAGGCCAGCCACACCATGTGGCCGACTCCAGACGCGTTGGGTAACCGTCCACTGGCGGGTGCGCCGCCGTTTTGCTTCCGCCAGCTTCCGCCGAGGGTGAGATGCGCCGGCCCGAAGGCCAGCGCTCCTCCTGACAGCCTCCTGCGCCCAATGCGGTATTCAATTCTCGCCCAGGCCAGCCGCGTGTACCTGGCTTGCTGGTGCGCCTGTTGCGCCGCCCTGGATGAAGCTTACCGTGGCCGCTTTCGACGGGATTGCGGCAATGAGCTCGCAGGAGTCAGCGAGCTCATGCAGTTCTTTATCATGAGGTTTCTTTTGGGCCTTCAGCGAGCTCATCGCCGCCATCCCGTTGCGTGCCGCCTGCTTCTTCCTTTCTCCGCGGCCGCTTCCCCTCCCTCCCCACCGCGCGCAGGTGCAAAACCTGCACACGGCGCTGCCCGCCGCTGCTACGTCCGCGACGAACCTCTGGTTGCTGCGGAACCACTATCGGGGAGACGTAAGACTCGGGCTGGGAGGACTCGGGTTGACCTGACGGGGCCGTCATGAAAATGCCGAGACCCGATCTGAATTTTGACGCCACCTCCCGATGCAAACATCATTCAAAACTGGACCGTCAAAATCCAGGACGGGCTCGTCAAACAGCGTCGGCAAACCCGAGCTCCAGCGTACCCGAGTCTTATGCTTCTTTGAAAATGTCGGCAATGAACTCACTGAAGGCAATTTGTGTCACTGCAGACATTTGCCTGCCTTCCGTGATTTCTCCCTTCAATGAAATCATTTTCGCCTTCTGTGAGCTCCTTGCCGCCATCCCGTTGGCAACACGAAACGTCCCTTGCACCAGGAAGCTGACGCAACTCTCCCTCCAACCGTGCAGAGCTTCCTCCTCCTCCTCCTCCTCCTCTTCCTTCTCCTCCTCCTCCTCCTCGCCCTCCTCCTCCTCCTCCTCGTCCTCCTCCTCCTCGTCCTCCTCCTCCTCCTCCTCTTCGTCCTCTCCTCCTCCTCCTTCTGGTGCGACCCTCGGACAGGGGCCACTTGAAACAACGGCGGCTCCCCCGCCTGGCACAGATCCGCTCAGACCTGCTCCAGTAGAGGGGAGAAAGTCCACCCCCGTAAGAATCACCCCGACAAGCAAAGCCGTTGAGTAAACGCACCCGAGAAAGGAACCGAACAGGGCAAGGCTATTTAGTAAACGCCCAACGCCGTTTAGTAAACGTCAATTGTCGGGTCTGGGTGATTTTTCCTCACTTGATCCAGACCCTTCCCAGGGTCAATCCTGACTGGTTTTTCGAGGCGGATCCACCCGTGGCGAACCGAAGCCTCCAGGAGGCCCCAGGAAGAGCGAGAGACGCCAGGTAGGACCACATCTGTCCCGACTGGCCCTCCTCTGGGACCCTGCGCCGGAGCGAAGGCATGATCCTCGGATATCGAGTAGCCCAAAAAGAGACCCCCAAATGGCACCGAATACGCTTCAACACTGCCTCCACGACGCTCCACTGAGTCCCCAAAGAGCTCCCGAGAAGCCCACAAGAGTCCCTAAATAATGCCCAAGAAGCCCACGACGCCTCAACCGTGGACTCCCCACCTCTTCTGGGGGTCGGCGGAATGTCGTAAACGGCATGAGCATACGAAGCACTCATTACTAATTCCGGTCAAGTCTATTTCGGAACATTTCCGACTCCGGCCGCGAATTACACATGAAACGTGCCGACGCGCAGGTCTGCGCCCCCCGCGCCTCGATGACGACATCAAAACACAACCATGGCCCCGCCAGACCTTGGGGCTAGAACCGCAACCCTCGCCAGGGCCACGGTGCGCCTGGGCCCGGGGCCCGCCCGGGGCCATAGTTTGGAGCAGGGCCGGGGCACGCCGGGGCCAAAATTTGCCTTGGCCCGGGGCCCGCCAGGGCCTCGGTGCGCCTGTGCCTGGGGCCCGCCGGGCCACAGTTTGCAACAGGGCCGGTGGTCGCCGGGGCCAGAATTTGCCTTAGGCCCGGCGCCCGCCGGGGCCACGGTGCGCCTGGGCCCAGGGCCCGCCGGGGCCATATTTTATTGCACCATGTCCGGGGCCCGCCAGGGCCCGAAGTTGCCTTGGCCCGGGGCCCGCCGGGCCCGTAAAATGCAGCAGGGCAAGGGCTCGCTGGGGCCAGAAGTTGCTTTGGCCCTGGGCCCGCCGGGGCCATAGCTTGCAGCAGGGCCGGGGCCAGCCGGGACCAGAATTTGCCTGGGCCCGGGGCCGCCAGGGTCACGGTGCGCCTGGGCCTGGGGCCCGCAGTTTGCAGCGGTTCGCAGGGGCCACGGTGCCCTGGGCCCGCCGGGGCCAGAGTTTGGGCCGGCCGGCCGGGGCCATAGTTTGCAGCAGGGCCGGCCAGGACCAGAATTTGCGTTGGCCTTGGGCCCGCCGTCGAGACAGGAACGCGCTCTCTTTTTTTTTTTTTTGTTTTCTCTCTCTCTCTCTCTCGCTCTCCCTCACGCACGCACGCGCATAACTACGCACACGCGCATACATACACACACGCACGCACGCACGCACGCACGAACGCACGCACACGCATAACTACGCACACGCGCACGCGCACGCACGCACGCACGCACGCACGCACGCACGCACGCACGCGGCACGCGCACGCGCACGCGCACGCGCACGCGCACGCGCACACGCACGCACACGCACACGCACACGCACGCGCACGCGCACGCGCACACGCACATGCGCACCGCGCACCGCGCACCGCGCACCGCGCACCGCGCACCGCGCACGGCGCACGCACACGCACACGCGCACGCACACGCACACGCACACGCACACGCACACGCACACGCACACGCACACGCACACGCACACGCACACGCACACGCCAACGCACACGCACACGCCCACGCACACGCCAACGCCACGCCACACGCCACACGCCACACGCCACACGCCACACGCCACACGCCTCACGCCACACGCCACACGCCACATGCCACACGTACACGTGTACACGTACACGTACACGTACACGTGCACGTACACGTACACACGCGCACACGCACGCGCACGCGCACGCGCACGCACACGCGAACGCGAACGCGCACGCGCACGGCGCACGCACATGCACGCGCACACGCACACGCACACGCACACGCACACGCACACGCACAAGCACACGCACACGCACACGCACACGCGCACGCGGACGCACACGCACACGCACACGCCACACGCCACCCGCCACCCGCCACCCGCTACCCGCCACACGCCACACGCCACACGCCACACGCCACACGCCACACGTACACGTACACGTACACGTACACGTACACGTACACGTGCGCACGCGCACGTACACACGCGCACACACACACACACACACACGCACACACGCACTCACGCACACACGCACACACGCACGCACACACGCACGCACACACGCACGCCCACACGCACGCCCACACACACACACGCACACACACACACGCACACACACACACGCACACACGCACACACGCACGCACGCACACACGCACACACGTACACACGCACACACACACGCACACACACACACACACACGCACACACACACACACACACGCCCACACACGCACACACACGCCTTCACACGCCTTCACACGCCTTCACACGCACACACGCATACACACACACGCATACACGCACACACGCACGCACACACGCACACACGCACACACGCACACACGCATACACGCACACACGCATACACGCACACGCGCACACACGCACACACGCACACACGCACGCACGCGCACGCGCACACGCGCACACGCGCACACGCGCACACGCGCACACGCGCACAATCGAACACGCGCACACTCGCACACGCGCACACGCGCACACGCGCACACGCGCACGCGCGCACGCGCGCACGCACGCACGCACGCGCGCACGCGCGCACACGCACACACGCACACACGCACCCTCGCACACACGCACGCACGCACACACGCACACACGCACACTCGCACGGACGCACGCACGCACGCACGCACGCTCACAACTCCTGCCCTCCACTCTCCTCGCTTCTCTCCATCCTCCCCATCCCCCATCTCTTCTCCGCTCCCTGCCCCTCCCTTTCTCCCTCTGCTCCACCTCCCCCTCCGCGCTGCGCTCCTCTCCATGCCTGCCTGCCCCCCCCCCCCCTGAACTGAGCATGGGGCCCTTGTGCAAGCCGAAAGCGGGGGGGGGGGGGCGCGGGCAACCGCTGGACGCGGGCGTCGGGGGGCCCAAC